ACTAAAAAAAAGAAAAAAAAGACATCGTTGCTGGACATGGCACCTCACCAGAAATCAGTTCAGTTCAGGGTCGACTGTGCCTGTCGCTTTGACGCTTGACGCTTGCCGTTGGTGCTACCGAGTGCAACATGTCCAAGGGGAAATTTCACTTCAGTGGACGGACGGGCCCCCGAAAAAGACATGCCGCCAAGATGGCAGGGAGCTGGGAGCAAGAGCTGGCCAGGGACTGCCGAGGACAGTACCTTTTTCCCGTTGCGCCACAAGGTGCCCTGGCATGGCTGGCATGGCTGGCATGGCCTGAAACGCGCCCGTCTCTCGTCTCGCTGCGTCCTGGCGAGGAACGGCGTCCTCTCAAACACATGTCCCCGATCGTCCTGCCAGGGGTCTGAGGGCCACAAGGCCAGTACCAGTCAGTAGGTGCCCAGGCTTGCCGGCCAGGTGCTTTCTGTTGGGGGCCCGTGTGGCCCCGTGGACGGGGTCCTGCTGCTCGACCTGTCACTGAACCCTATTCGCCAGCCCCGGCGCTCAGAGGTACATTTACCTACCCAGGCAGGCAAGCCAGGCCCCAGGCACCTCAGCTCAGTGGCCCATCCATCCCCCGCCCCCAATGGGTCCGGAGGCTCAGACCGGCCCCCGAGTCACTGTGTGCGACGGCGCCTGCCCCCTCGTCGTCCCATCTCCCTCCTCCCCCCCCTTTCATCTCATGTCCTCGATGACCAGATCGCCCTGTGGCTTCTCGCTGTTCGGATCAGGGGCCGCTCGGCTGCATCCCATCCTCCTACACCTACCCTGCCGTTCCTGGATTTCTTCTCTTTCCTCGCGTGCCGCGTCCCGAGTGTCAGTCTCGCCTCACCTCCTCAAGCGTTGCAGGTCCATAACGCAGACTGCAACGCACACGACTCGCAAAAATCTCGTAAAGGGGAATCATTGGTTTCTTCTACCTTGGCCTGGCGCCCCGTCGACATTCTTGAAACGCCCTGGATGACGCAGCACCCGAAAGCTGCCCATCCTTCTCACCTCACCTTACCCAGAGACAGAAATAGAGAGAAAAGAGACAGAGAGAGAGAGAGAGAGAGGCAGACGTAACGAGGCCGCCATCATGAAATACCCAACGCCGAGAAACACCACGCTTCGCCGCTGTCGTTTGTCGTCACAAATGAAAACCCTCCAGACCGATCCCACCCCCCAGACTGCTACCACCGTCCCTGGCCGGCCGCCTCACACATTGAGCCTGGCCCCCAGCGGCGTCCTCGCGCCCCCCTGCTCCATCCATCGGCCCATGTCGTCTCCGATCTTCCTTTCGGGAACATGCCCAGGTCCTGGAGGAGGCTCTTCATGTAATCCTGGCGTCTCGTCTTCCTCACCGGCCGGGCCTCCGAGTCATACGGCCGTGCTGTCCGGAATCGCCGTCGTACGACCACAAAAGCTGGTCTTCGTTTTCTTTGATCGTCGGTCGTCGTCGTCCGCCTTCTTTCCCCGATGCTCTTTCCGACCCTCCACCGAACTTTCAGGGGGCACCGCCGGGGATCGGGTTTCTTTGAAGGCTCCTCCCAGCGCCAAGCTTGAGGGTGCAAGCCGGAAGCGCTTCGTTCTCCCGTCTGCAGGCTGCGGATCTTGCCCTCCGCCACGAGGGCTCTTCTCCTCCATCATGCGCTGCATCGCCACGACGCTCTTCTGGTAATCCTCGAGGCGCGCCCTCCTGGTCCTGTGTCGTGTCCTTCTCGCGCCGTCGCGACTCCGACACGGAGAGCTGCAACACCCTGATCTCCTCCGCCATCTCCGCAATCTGTGCGTCTCGTTCCGCTGCCGACACGTGGTCCTGGTTGACGACGGCCCGTGTGCGGATCCGTTTGGCCTGGTCCGCGTAGCGCAGCGTCGAGAGCGTTTCCTCGTAGTCCGACGGCGCAATGCACGCAATCATGGCCGTCTTGCTGTTGCCGCCGAGCGAGTCCTTGAGCAGCCACGTGAGGATCGAGTCCCGGTACGGCACCACGTCTTTTCGTTTGCGACCCTTTTGCTTCGAGTCGGCCAGCGCTCCTATGACGCGCCCGAGCGTCGTCAGCGACTTGTTGATGTTGCTGCCCTCCCGGAGCCGTGCGCCCGTGGCTTCCGTTGCCTTGGCGCGCTCACTGCCCGCGAGATCCACCAGTCGGATGCGCGAGCTTCGTTCTGTCGTCTCGTCCGTCTCCATGTCGTGATGAATCTGCTTCAGCATAATGGTGAAGACTGCGTGGTTTCGACTGCTCGTGTCGTTCATCTTGGTGCTGTTCTTCTTTCTCGAATCGTCTCCGTTCTTTCTTGTACCGTAAAATCTTGTTGATGCT